CCAAGCGATTGAATTAAAACGGGACAAGGAATAGAAAAAAATTATACAATATGTTGGTACTTCATAATAAAGCGAGCGTCCGCTAGTGGTCACATCCCCCGCCCACGAGCACGGCGAAATGGCTAAAGAAAATTCAGCTTAATGCTGAATTAATTCCAATTACCACACCAGCACCGCTCCTCCTTCCTGGGCCATCGTCATCGCCATCGCCAGTGGACGTGGACGAGCACACTCAGCGGACTGGCCAGTAATTTAGCCGCTAATGCGCGGAGTGCGGCCAACAAAAGCAGCCGCACGCGCTGACCTCCGGCTCAGTCCGTGACCAGCTTACACTGCTCACTGAGAGAAAAATTATACTAAAATCTAGGACTAAATTTGGCATAAATGAGAATTCAAATATGGTTTAAATTTACCCCTTAACCCAATCTAAAAAGAAATTGCAATCAACTGTGATTGCGAACTTATGTGGAATTTTTTTATATTACAATTACCAGGTTTTAAGTTTCATTTCAATTTTTTAACAATTTTTACCCAAAACAGATGAATCCTTGATTAAATTGGATCCTGTTCTCCGAAAAATATTTTGATGTGTTTTAAATTTTTTATCAAATTTTTAAGAACTTTATTTTGGAAGCTGGTTAATTCTCGCTTAAATTGAAACTTTGTCTCCAAAAAAAGATTTGGCTTTTAATCTATTTTATTTTCCGAAATAGTTTTGACATGTTTTTTTATTAAAGTTTTTTTATTAATGTTACAAGTGACATAGGACCTAAAACCTTGGGCTTCTATTCAGTAAATTATTTATAAAAATACACGAAAAAAAATAGTTTTACCCATAGATAAAGTTTCCTTATTTCAATACAACTTTAAAATGTCTTACAGAATCGTCTGAAAAGTTAACCAAATAAAAAAATATTTCAGATTGAAGAAATATATTTTGCAATTAAAGTTAATTCTTTTTATGTGGCCTGGATTTTTTTGGTAGTGCATCCCATCCCAGTCGCCACTCTGCATTACCATGGCCTTTTGTGCAAGGTTTTAACATGAATTTATTTTATATAAAAATTTTCCTTTTTCCGTCAGCCATCGGCCACTTGTTTGGCTTTCAGAAGATTCACTAATTAATTATTAATTAAGTTGGAAAAATTGCCAAGCACTCCATCCCCCGCCCCGCTGAGCGAATTGAAAGATGCCTTTGCATTCAGTTTGAAACTTTTGAAAGTATTCCAATTTTCTAGCATTTTTCTCGTTCGCTTTGGCCAGAACTTTGTGGGCGGAAAACTTTCGAGCGAGCAAGGAAAACTTTCGGGGCAAAAAGTCGCCTCGCGACGACCACGCCCCCATTTTCCCCCAGAGCCAAAAGTTTTTACTGTCGCATTTCTCCGACTCCAGAGAAGTCGGCACTAAAATGCAGGCCTTGAGTGAGAAAGAAAACCCCATCGTTAGCAGGTCCTTGGAAGGGAAATAAAAGGAGAAGGCCTGGCTTAAACAAAAAGCACGTGTCCTGTGAAGCGCCTTTCATCATGCGAGCGATGGAAACTCAACTGACCTTCCGACTCGGACACTGGCCATGTGCAAATTGTAAGCTGCAAAAACACACGAGAGTATACAAAAAAAGAACAGAACGCAGCTCAGAAAAGCGCAAACATTTATATTTAATTGGTGGTTTGTGCTCGAGAAGTGGCCGCCCCCTTGTGGCCTTGTGTCTACCCAATTGAGTTTCAAAGTTGCAATTAGAGCGGTCTGAATGAAAGACTGCCCATTTTCCTGGCGAAATGGCCCAGTGGGTGGAGGAGGTGGTCGGTCAGGTGAATTGGTGGCTGCATTCAATGGAAACAGTTGAGATCGAGGCAGTCCTCAATTGGGAGATGTGGGTAAGAGGAACCCCAGTGAAGAAACAATGCACATTCAAAAGAAACAAGTCGCAGACCATTAAACCCGAATAGCATGCCATAATATGGAACATAAAGAGTTTCTATGGGCGGTTGGACCACATTTGAATGGACACTGAAGTATGCTAAAATTTAAATATAACACACACAAATTTCTAAAAATTCTTATGAGAGTTTAAGCTAAAAGTTAAATAGTTTGAAAAGAGGGGCCGATTTGAAACCATTTTGTTCCCTATTTAACTGATTTTTGTAGAACATGCGAGCAAGAATGAATAGGGATTATTTGTTTGCCAATTGGGCTGCATTTTATACTTTGTGAGCTTTAGTTTCTTCCGTTTATTAATTAAAACCGCAGTAGTGCGGTTATTGCGATATTTTTAGACCCTGCTTGAAAATAAATAAACAAATAAATTCAAAACAAAAATAAATAATACTTTAATAAATACTTTAAATGACATTTTATTTGAAAATGCAAAATATTTTTTAAAAATATGTTTATTTTTTATTAATGCATGCTTAATTTTTCCAAAACATAGATTCCTATGATTTCGGGATGTACGTTAAAATGCAGCACTTTGTCCTTCATGTAGTTCATAGTTATAAGCTTTAAATCTAGTACCAACCCTGACATGCGAATCCACCAAAAAACAATCACTATAAAACCAATCATATTCAGTTTTACCATATCCATTTATTTCAATACATTCTTTTTTGATTCATGGAAACTCTTTGAAACTAAGTACTTTATGCTGACTGGCAAGCTAACGCAATCTTGCCACGAGCAAAGCCAAATGGAAATGAAAAACCAAATTGAATTTACCTTGCCTTTGACTATGTCCACACTCATGCAATGCCACGCCCCCTTTTGTGGATCAGGCAAATGTGCCAAGTGTTTATGGATGCACTTAAAAAAATATACAATTTTGATTGAGCAGATAATCTTACTTTACATTTTTAAATATTCAAAATAAATAGGTTTGTTTGCATTTAATCTCGAAAAACTGTTTAAAAACCCTGCATTTAATTGTATTCACAAATGCTAATCCATTTTGTATTAATTGCAGATTGCAATACTTTTCTAACGCACTTCTAATTGTGGTTTCTTTTTTTAACAGATCAAATTCTGTGAATTTCTTTCTGTTTGCTGGCTGAGCTTTTTCTTTCCTTTTTTGACGAATGCGAATGCAATGACGATGCCAGCTTGATGATGACTTCTTTACACGACATTTAATTGAGAAATAATTGAATAGGTCGTGTCAAGTGTTTGTTTGGCGTTTGGCTGGCTGAGGTCTGGGATGCAGAGTATGGAATTTGGATAGGGGCGGTACAGAAATGGGGGGGGGGGAACCTGGATTCCCAGAGAGGTCTGGCTTTCGTGGCGAAATTAGCTTTGTCAAATGCGGCTGACATGGGCACGGGTTGAGTGGCGCGGAAAGGTCTACTGCAGCGTGAAAACGCCACTGCGAGTTGTTTAATGAAGTAGTCACAGTCGACGGAGAAAGTCGAAGGCCCTTCGATTACCGATTTCCCACCACTGAAAACAAAGCCCAGTGGTGCAGTCAAAGGATAGGTGAAAAAAGCACACATCCATAAAGGGGAATTCACGTGTGATTGGAATGTTCCATAATCGTCCTGCAATCGGGTTGGGAGTGGGCGGGGCCTGGGAAATTGTCGCGCGATGCAGTCAGCCGCGCACTTATAATTGCAGTTGCAGTTTAGCCGATTTCATTGTGGACTGAGAATTCGGGGGATTAATCAAACATGTGAGCAGGGGGTGAATTTATTGGAATTATTCTTAAATAATCAAAAATGTTTTTTTTTCGAATTGCTTGAAAACATTAAAAACTATTTAACACATAACACAAAAAAAAGGTAACAAAATATAAAGGAATACACAATTAAATAAAGTGCTGAATGGGAAAAGATATAATTCGGCTTGATTTATTTATCTATTTTCGATTGAAGGTACAAATATGGATTCTAAAGTTAATCAACTATAGTATGATGTTATATTATTAATTATTGGTTCTAAAACTGTATTTGTTTAAAAAAGGGCGATCTAGGTAGAATCCTTCCTAGATCATCCGAAATATAAGTTTTTGGATCTTTCCGATCCATTTTGATAAAGTCGTTCCAATTGAAGGTGAATGTCATCGTATCCGTCTAACTAAATTATAATAAGACAACGATTAAAAAAGTGTTTTGTGTTCCAGTTGTAATTTTACTTGATCCAGGAAATTGCAGTCGGACAGTTTAAATGGTTTGTGGACGTTAGTATTAATAAGAAACTCAGGATAGCATTGACATAATTTTTTTTTAATAGGCCGAACATCACTTTTTAAAACTTCTATATATTTTAATTGGGTCAGCATACTTGTTTTTCTGCAATTCCTATTCGTAATAGAGTTAGCCAAATTATTCTTCTTATTTCCAAAACTTCTAACAACTGTAGTTCGGTGACCCTTACGAGCAAACTCCTTGGGAAACTTTCACATAGAGTGTAATCGAAAATTATGTATTTGCAATTCTCTAAGAATTCTGAGATGTTTTATATATTTAACATTTTTTTTTGGTAGATAAAGCACTTAATATACGCCAGTTACAAACTCTTAAGGATTAAATTCCAGCAAGCTAGACAATCTCATCGGAAGTAAATCCACTCAATTACTAAGACCACTTTGAACTACTTGATCTTCTTTAGAAGCAAGGGATTTGGTAAGTGTTCTCTCAGCTAACATTAATCATCAATTAAAGCTAAAGGAAAAACACCTGTCGTTGACACACAAAATATACATACATTTTGCCAAACGTAACTTCTCTTTTATTGTCCAACCATTCACGGACTTGATCACGCATCCCAGTAAAGGTCTACTGGTATAATGGATTTTTTTAACTTACTCACATCTTGTATTTATTATATTTTGAAGACGCTGATTACGTCAGACGCTCCCGCGATGACAATAATTGCCCAGGCCGGTAGACCCATTTTCCATGAATTCTAGGTTAACGCCAATGACGCTTTTAGAACTGGTTTCCCTAGTTAAAGTTTTCTATAAATGAGCTGTGTTCATCGGAGTTTGCTCCATTTACAAACATTTAGCTGTCGAGTACGCCATGAATCATCTGAATTTGGAGATTATCTGCTGGAGTTGCCTACTCCTTTTAATAGCTACAAAAACCGAAGCGGCTTTGGTTTGGAAATTGCCAACACCGGAGCAAGTGCACGAGGATCTGGAAAACTGTCGCCAAGAATCCCAAGACGAAGATGCTGTCACCTTAAGATGTTTGGTGAAAAAACTGGGACTCTGGACAGATGAGAGTGGCTACAATGCCAAGCGGATAGCAAAGATCTTCGCTGGACACAACCAAATGGAGGAACTAATGCTGGTGGTGAATTACTGCAACCGCAAGGAGGAGCGAAGAGCCCAATTGGATGACTGGGCTTACCTTGCCTACAGGTGCGCCACTTCCGGTCAGTTTGGCCATTGGGTCAAGGGTTTCATGGGCCGAAAAGAAATAAAATAAATCTTGTTTCAAGATAAAACTCAAGTGGGGCTTTTTAACATATTGTGATCAAAAATTATTATACTTCAATTAGTAACCAAGCAGAGCATTTTCTAAAATTCTCACATCAAAATATTTTGCCTCGTTCCTATTCAAGTATTTAGCTTTTTAGAGTTTTTAATGAGAGAATTTGAAAGTGAACCTATATGTAATCTTAATAAGAACGCCTCGATCGTTCTTAGGATTAATCAGCATCAACGGATTCAAAGATTTTAAATACATTTGAAATACATTCGAAATTAAAAAAAAAATCGCTTTTCGACGATTAGATTCTCAACATAAGATTCCATATTAAGGGTCTATAAAATTGTTTCATTCACAAATTAATGGAGAAATTGGTCATTATGGTAAAAAAATATACACCAATTAACGTTTAATAAATTTATAAATAGTCTAAATATATATAAATAATAAATTTATATATAGTCTAAAGTTTATATTTTAGAAATAATTTTTCTAAAAATTGAATTTGAATTCAAATTTTCAAAATTATTACCCGTGTTATATAATTTTATAAGCTCTTTACTCCTTTAATGTATGAGTTCACTTCCAATAAACAAAACAGTTAGGGGAAATCTGTGTCAGAAGTGCATTCTTTATTTAAGACTTGAACTGCCAAAGAGGGATCAGATGGGTCTGGATGGCGGGATCCGTCGTCCTCCTAGACCTTGACACTGTGCTGGACCAGCTGCAGATTGGAGTTCAGGAAGCACATGCCGGCGTGGTAGGCCTTCGAGCAGGAGTCGGCGTCCTTGGAGTGGGACTCGGCACAGTGGGCGATCTTCTGGTGCGTCTCGTCCGAGTGGTTCACCTCGGCACCGGCTCCAGCCAGCTGGACGTGGATCTTGTGGACATCGAAGCCGTGCTCCGTGTCGTAGAATCCGAACTTCTGGAAGACGCACTCCAGGTAGCAGTGGGTCACCGCGTCGTCGGGGAACTGCCACCTCTTGTACTTCTCCACTAGCTCCTCGCCGGCGTGAACCTTGTCGGCGCAGAAGGCACGATAGGTCACCAGGTCGTCGTGCGTCTTCACCACATAGTTCTCGTGGTGGTGGCCACTGTGATCGTGATCAGCCAGGACAAAAGTCAGACCCAGCAGGAGAACTATGAGGACCTTCATGGCGATGTCTGCTTTACTTAGTCACAACTGCAACTGCAATTTGTGCTAGGCTCAGCAGCCGTATTTATAGCCAGAGTCTGCGGCTAGGCAAACAAGATGCTTTGTTTCCATCGGCCGATGAAATTAACCTTCCATCGGGTCGATTTGCGGGTGATTGACTGGCCCAACGATTACCCTTATCAAAGGTCAAAGGTCGCCAAGCAACGATAGATGCAGGTGCCCAGGTTCCAGATGCCAGATTCCAAATGCACGGCTGTCAACAAGTCTGAATCACGGCTTATCACAAAAATGACGTGACTTTGGGCGAATTCGTAGCGATTGTAGGGGAAAAAACGAAGATCGTATGCACACCGGCGCCATCTAGGTGTCATTAATTGAACAAGGAACACAACTTTCAGCTTTTGTCAGCTTAATAATAAGAAAATTCTTATTCGGATTTTTTCCTATCTTAACATATGTTAATAGCAGAATTAAATTCTTTAAAAGTGTAAAATCCAATAAGATATGTTGTTAACATAAACAAATTCTGTTAGTTCAATGTTAATGTTTTTGGTGTTACCATTTTTACGAAGTTAGGTATTTCTTTTATTCATACAGTGGCGCCATCTGTCTGCAGGTAGCGCAACCAAGTCTCTAAGTTTCACAGCAGCCAGCATCGCACAGTGCAAAAACATTCGTAGCTTAACAGTATTTTAATGTTAATAACCAATAGCTTATTTTAACAAAAACGACGTCGTTTAACGGTTAACAAATAAAAAATAACCATTCAAAATCTTCTTTTTGTAACTCAAAGATTAAAAAAAGTAAGTCTGCCAAACCTGTTTTCTTCTAAAATTAAAACTATTTAGCATTAAAATAATTAAATGTAATTTTGTAGTCTCTCGTTTTGGTCTGATGAAATGGCTACGAATGTTATTTAAATAAGTAATTAAAACTAGTTTAAGCAAACATCTAATAAACGCACGTCTGGGTCACCAAAGTTCGTAGTCTCATTATGCCGATCAAAACAGAAAAAGGGAAAAGCGAAAGTTCGGTCGAAAGTGAAGAGGAAAACGCGGCAGGAGGTTCCGCCCACCACGATGGTCTATTAAACAGCCTCAGCAGATCTTCCAGCATTGATTGACCCCGCAACACCAAGAAATCCCCACAAGTTGCAGCACGAGCGTGGGCGAGGATCGGATCGGATCACTCTTATCACCTCTGCCAGTGAACGTGACTGCGGCAAATAAAAACAAACTATCATTGGTGTGTACACTCCAAAAAAGGGCCAACTAATAAAAATCTGGCTTAAAGACTTAAAAACAAGTTTTGAAATATTTAAATTATATATTTTCGAATGAATTTTTTGTCTTTAAATAAAAATATGTACTTAAAATGATAAAACAAAAATAATTTAAAGAATTTCTTTAACGCAACTTCTAGGCTATAAGAAATAATGAAATATGGTCTTAAAAAAAATGTAATGAAATGAGGTAAAACAAATATCCCGCATATTAAAATAAAAAAGAAACATTTGACGAGATTTGTTATATTATAAATTTAATTTCCATTTTTCTCCAGGTGTCTAAGCATATATAAACAACCTGGTTAACAACAAAGAGTTGAGGACTTGACAGCTAGCTGAGAGTGACTTAAACCACTGCCGTGGAGTAAAATGAACAACTGTTCTGAACTTTGGTTCGCAACGAAAGTGAAACCCGGTAAGCCCATTTGTTATGGCCGAGAATAAAGACTTGTTGTGACTGAGGCTGACAATTGCATTTCCAGAGTGTCGAGAGCTGAACAAATTCCTAGCCCAGTTTTGTGTTTTATTTCGCCTCCACTATTCTACACTTTCGCCCGGTTTATTGCATTCATCTAATTCCGACCAGCAATTAAATCGAAGCTAATGAAAATGCCGCCTCCAATGGGAAAGCATTTTGGTTTGTTTAGATTGTATTTCGGTTTCAATTCATTCGAATTGGGAATACTCTAGGAAAATATACCATAAAATGCGAGGATCATTATTATTTTTCTTAATACTTTGAAATGCATTATTTGTATTCCTATAGAAAACCAATTGCAGATATCATAGCAATCTATATTAAATCCAGGAACTAACATATCTATTTACAAAGTGTGCAACAATTTCAAAACATAATATATCTATTTATGTCGAATTAAATATTCATATATATGTATCCATTTCGTGCATTTATGTAGCTCTTCTTTAAAAAGGGACTACGTGTCGTATGAGCAATTGTGTTTGCCCAAATTTGTTATGGGGAGGTAAGCGAAATTATACATAAATATATAGCTTTTGCTGGTATATTGTAATAACATTTAATTGACAATTTGGTCTCAGTATTTTAAATGTAATCTTATTTGCTTTGTTTTATTATTATTTTTTTTATTTAATAAAAAAGGCGTCAGACCCGAAGCAAGGCTAACTGAAACTAGGCCAACTCCAAGAAGTTCCTGTCCGCACGCCCATAAAAACCCCAAAGCCAACACAGAGGTTTATTTGCAAGCCTTTAGCCAGCATTTCATTGCCACCACTATAGCCACTGGCACCACCCAACCACCGAACCACCGCACCACCAACCACCGAAGGTATAAAAGGTTGCCCGTGGAGCGCGCCCAGCGTTCGTTTGAAGTCCCCAGAAACCAAGAAACGCGCGTGCGCAGCCGCAAAAAGAGCCAGTCGATCGTCGACAGTCTCCGCGTAGAGTCAACTCAGATCGTGATCCGTGTTCTCCAGAGTGCACCGCATTTCATACGTACTATTTTGCAGCAACTTGTTTTCAAAGTCATTACGTGTCGGCCAGTCGCTAAACAAATTGTGCATTTTTAAAAAACAGTCGCAAGAGCCAGTGCATTTCGGACAATTTATGCCATATTTTTGTGGGTTTTCTGGAGCTTCCTGACAGTCATCAGTAGTCAGCCACCACCCGCATACGAAATCCAAGGAAAAAATTAAAGAGGGGAAATAAAAATCCACACGGTCAATATGCAAATGGAAAAGGTAAGCAGCGCCTGTGATAACTTTATTTATTATTATTCCCCCATCGATACATATATGTATATTAAGTGATACATGGTTTCATTAAACGCCCACCATTCTCTTGACACTTTCACTTTCACAATAAGATTCAGTTTAAGACTCAGGTTTAAGGTTACGCCACTGCCATCTATTGCCTTTGAACTGGTCTTAGCCATGAATCCGACTCGAGTTGCGGCTGAGTCAGCCTCCAACGAGCCAAACTGGCAATGCAGGCCACTAAAGCCCAGGCGAATGGGATAAGGAGTGGGTCGGGGGCAGAATATGGTTCTACGGCCAGAAGTTGGCTGGCTGTAACTGCGATTCTAAGAACAACTAGACAACATAGTAAGTTTAAAGTGCTAGGCATTAAATACTTTAATATTCTTTTATATAAACTATGCAGACAAAAAATCGTTTTTACTTAACATTAAACTGAGATAACTTTAACAAAATAAAAGAGAATCATTATAGCACTATTTTTATAACTTCCGAATTATGTAGTTAATTGCTTTCAAAATACAAATAATATGTTAGAAGGGAAATAAATAAATAGAATTTAATATTGATTTAAATACAAATATGATAATTTCTTGGTTAATTACAATAAATATATTACAAAAGTTTGTAAAAATGTTGATTTAAATTTATTGCTACTCGATTTACAGGCTTTGCTTTATTATCTCCAGCGATCAACACAGATGCTCATATGCATATTTGATGTGTATTTATAGTGTGCACTAATCTTACTAAACGGCTGCAATCAAAATATAAATAACAACAATTAAGTAATTATAAATCAGTGCAAAGATCGAGGGGGTAAATATGAAATAGCACTTGTGAGTGAGAAACTTGTTAAAGCAAAAACAAGGTAATTAAAGTAAATTAAACCAAACAAATGAAATATAGGAAAACAAAATGAAATATAGGTAAATCACTAAATAAACCAAACAACTTGCTTGGTAAATACCAGAATTCAGTTATAGTAATCATCTTTTGGTGAGGTTTGCGGAATCACTCCGGGTCAATTCAGTTCATTTTTCAAACCTCTTTTTAAACCAAATTTCATTGACACCTTTGAGTGACCACCCACCCCGATTTCTCGGAAATCTGGCCACTGAGCCTATGGAAACACCCATGGCCAAGAGTGCCAGTGGTCCATTAAACCATTTTGAACTATCACTTTTAACGCGGGCATTACAATGGCACTCGAGGTGGCCCAATTTCGTGGAGTGGAGTGGAGTGCAGCACTCCGCACTTGATCAACGATTATTGTCTGCTGATTCCACTCAATTCGATTCGATTCGATTCAATTCGATCCGTTTAATTTCACTGCTGCCAGATGCCGACGAAATCGAAAACGAAACTAGAAAAGAAAAGAAAAGGAAAAGCGTCGAAAATTGCTCTCTCGAAAGCAAGATCATGGTGATCGCGAGTGGGTGGGTGAAGGTGGAGGTGGAGGAAAGTCAAAGTGAAATGCTTGGAAAGCCAGGCAAATTGCCAGTCAGTCGCTTCGTAAACAACAATAAGCGATCCAAGGAGGGCGATCCAGCCCAGCCCAGCCCAGCTTGGATGTCTGGGTAATCCGAGAGCGGCAATTAGAGTGCAGCCCCCTTCTCGGGGATCAAGATCAGAAACGCGGTCACAGTTCCGCAGATCGCTCCAGTGCATTTCCATGCTCCAGTACCAGACCCCGTCAATGGGCAACTAACCGGACCTAGACTCCATCTCTCTGAGGAAAGGCCTTTGGCACAGCTCCAAATAAAGAAACAAAATTTATTTTTAACTTATTTAGTTCTCATCTTAATGTTAACTTTGAAGCATGTGGTTTTAGAACTCCTAGAAGCAATTGGTTTTATTGATACAGATGCATATTCTGGATTTAGAAGAAAGAGAATTTACCTAAAATTTAAAAGGGGATTTTAATTTGGGGATAAAATTACTTTAAATTTAAATTTTTACTTTTACTACAAATTAAATAGGGAATACATGTATCTTAAAACTTATTATTTGGAACCCCAGAGCAGCATTTTGTTTAATGATTAAATATTTATATTAATAAAAAATCTTTTTCTAGAATGTGAAGAAGATATGATGCTTTAAAAAATATATTCATGTTTAAAAACATTTTTAATAATAAATTACATTCCGTTCTCTTAACAAACCAAAAAGCAGCTTTTTATTAAAACTAAATGAAAAGTAAGAAAAATGATTTTAACCCGCCTTAATTTAAGAGAAAGAGATGTAAGCAAAAAAAAATTAAATAATTGCCTAATTATTATTAAATAAACGTTATTAATACAAATTTTAAACCTTGTCATAATGTGAGGCTACCGAACTTGAAATACATACAACAACCAAGAAGTTGGATCTTAATGTAGTGTTTTCCCTAGTGTAAGGTAGTGCCCCGTCCGGTTCGATCGGCTACTCCGTAATCCAATTAAAGGAACAATCTACATTTCAATTCAAAACTAATGAAGTGTAGAGAATTCGCAACAAAGGCTGACATGTGTTGATTGTTTCGGCGACTGCAGTGCTGGTATTTGAAAGTCGTGGGTTTCTTCTGGCGGGGAGTCGCTTTGGATTGGACCACTCCATTACTAACAAGCTTCCCTGTAGAGCAGCTCCCCCAGCTTCTCAACTTCCGTCAAACACAAGCACAATTGTGCGTAGTCCACACAATTCGTTGATTGATTGTCGATATGGCGATCAATTAGACAGATTATGGTTTTTCATCGATTGCGATCGCAGTGACAAAACCAGGGACAGCTGTCAATGGAAAACAGAACAGAGGTACTTGAATAACTCCAGATTCGAATTCGATATCCGCAGCACACACTTCTGGTTCTTCTGTTGGTGGGCCTCATTCTGTGGACGGGTTCCTCCCAGGCCGCCCGTCGCCTCAGGAAGAAACCGAAGGTCTACAATGCCCTGATCACCACGGACGACAATCTGACCTCCAGCCGGGCCTTTCCGGTCATCCAGCCCTCCATCCACGAGCCTGGGTACGCCCCCTTCGGACCCTACAATCCCTATGGCTTCTATAGTCCTCCGATCGTGAGGTTCGGTCAGGCAATTGTTCCTGGACTTACGCCCAATGAGAGGGTAAGTTTGTATAATTTGTATCTCTCAATACCTTAATGAAGTAACTATTGACAACTTATTTTTACTTGGCTAGTCTCTTAAACGTAATATTGCTTTATACGGGTAAAATAAATCTTTCATAAATTATAATTGTATTCAGCTTTCATATTATAATAATTTAGATTTAAAATTTAATAATAGGAAACCAACTTTTAATCATTGTTATGTCTTTTAAATAGACTTTTAATAAGATATCAATGTCTGTTTATTTGTGAGTCCTAAGAACTTAATCCGAAATTAAATAGGTTATTGTTTAAAATTAATAAACGTATATAAACAATAATAAGAAATCAGAATTGCTGAATGAATTTGGTTAGCTATATAACATTTAAATATACTTAACCTTCACTAATATTTACCAATAAAATTCTCAAAAATAAACATTTATAATCTATTTTTATCGTACAATAAAACATTTGCAATTTAAATTATAAATAGAACATTATTTACTTTTAAAGCGTTCAATTAAATCAATAATTTTGTAAAGTATATACAATTTGTGAAATTCTACATATTTGAATTTCTCTTTGTCGAATTTATTCGCAGCTTCCTTACCCACTGCCACCTGCTGCCCAGTATCCAGGTGGCTTTGCACCCTATGAGCCCCAACAGCCGGTGGAATCTCCCGTGGAGCTGCAGCCCCAGCCGGAGTCGCCACCCGGATCCGTGGAGCCCCAGGAGATGCCCAAGGAGCAGATGCCTCTGCCACTGAATCAGCAAGGACTGCCACCCATGCTCATCCCCCTGCCCTCCCAGTTCAGAGGACAGCCTACGCACCTGCCCCCGTATCCCTACAGCCAGTATCCAGTGATCTACGATCAGGCGGGTTACATTAGGCAGAACTATCTGCCTCCCTACGATTACTACCCCACCCAGGGTTATCCCATTCGGGAGGCCACAGCTGCACCTTCTGCCACGCCCCCCGCAGTGGAGGATCAGCCCCCAGTTCCAGTCCAGAGTCCACAAAGTCCGATTAAGCCATTACCCCTGGATAATCTGGAGCCAGCGACGCCCAGTTTCGAGGACATTCGCAACGGATCGGAGAGCAAAAACAGTGCGGTTCCGGATGTCCCACCGCCACCAATACCCTCCGGACCCAAGCGTCCGCGACCCGCGGATCCGGATAACTGATTGCCACCCGGATAATTCCGGTTGCTCAGATTCCACACACGTATTTATTACCATTTCGCTTAGGCATATAATATCGGCTCGATTGTACAATGTCGCTTAGCCCGTAAGCTAAAGTAAGAGTTCATTCGGAGATAACGAATAAATAATATAAAATCGCCAGTGCGGTGAATGAACTTGGATGGGTTACCAGTTCCCCAGGGAACTACGGGATGATTTCGCTTTTATCGGGGATTTGGGAATGGTTTATCTTAGCTTTCAAGGGACTATAAATGCAGGAAGGTTGGTGCGAAATGTTACAGTTTGCATTGAAAGGGGATACAGAATGAAGCTGACCCTGCTGCTGATCGTTTGCTGTTGCCTTTTCGGGTTGGGTGAGTTATCTTGCAGATATAAGGAAGTGTGTTTTAAGTAACCCATTGAATAATATAACACTATCTACAGCCTTTGGCAATCCGATTGTGGTGACCAAGTCACCATTTATTCGCAGTCGCTATAGCCTGCGCTGGCGAAAGACCACCACTGCGGTTCCTGAGGCAACTACTGGATTGGCCATCAATGCAGTTAGCACCACCGAGCATCCCAAGTTGGCCACCTCAACTGCCAATGTGGACTACGATTATTATGGCAACGGGGAGGCCGACAATGTGGTGCACAAGTAATGGTGAAACCATTAAAAAGCGAAATTATTAAACAATTATAAATATATTTTTAAAAAACTTGCCGTACTTTACTGAGAGAATGCAGCCATATAAACAGATTACAAACATTATCTACTATACTTTAAATATAAAGTATTTAAAAAATACAAATTTTATTTAATTTTAATCGTTAATTAAACCATTACCATTAACCAAAAGCCTAATCTTTTGTATTATTTCCAATCACTATCTATTTATCTTATGAATTCTCTAATCACCTCAAAGCTTTTGCTGTGTAAAAACAATGCCAATAGGGGTGAATTTTTTGTTTTTAGGTTTAATTTTATTTTAAGTGTAGAGAAACTTATTTATAAACCAGGGGGGCACAAATCTTCTTTGTAAAAAGAGTTGGTTTACTTATGTTTGTTAAGTTTATAAAAACATCAATAAGCTTATTATCTTAAAAATATCAGTAGCGTCATAACTAACGCCAGCAAATTGTATTTCAAATAAATACTTCATTTTTTTAAAAATACATGCTACCACATCATTGAACACAGCATTTGTAGAAAAATAAAATTCCAATAATTCGTGCAAAATATGAATATATAAATATATATAAAATTTAACAATATCCGGTATATCTGCCCAAATTCCTAAAGCTCTATAACTGACCATTTTAGTTTAAATGAATGTTATTGCTTGGATCTAACCTGTATGTTAACCACTGTTAAGCAATCATGAACGTGTTGGGTTATGAATTTTGAATTGTGCGCACAAATTTTCGATAACACTTTGCACCAATCGATACGTCTATGTTAAGTCTATGTTGAGTTAATATTAAACATAAAACAGCTGTTTTTTTGCCGACAACAAAAACAACATATAACAAACGAGTTTTAAAACAAAAATGATATTGACAATTAAATGCGCTCAGAATGTGATTAAGCCAGAGTTTCGGAAAGTGGCCAATCTGCTAGGTAGGTACTATATATCTGGTTTATCCCACGGCATTGCAACAACAGCAACGAGAGGCGGCAGGTGGGTTGAGGGGGGTGAAAAGGGGGCTAAAGTACCGACCAAAAACTGAGCTTTATTTATTCGCGCAGCGATTCGCAAATCTCAGTTCTGTATTCGCCATCAACGAGAGAAGTAGCAACTGGTGGCAGCGCAAATCTCCGAAGATTCTACGGCACCCTAAACTCTGAGGCCCCAGCAACCACACCGAAAAAACGCAAAATGGTGGTAAGTACTAACAAAGTTGGATTTACAGATCAAGGGCAATTGAATCTAAGCGAAATCGAGAGGTATTCTTATCACCGTCACCTCGAATTATAAACGAGCCCCCAAGGCCGACTAAAGACATCAAGCAAGCGTTTATACATACTTTTACACCGAGGGGTACTGCGAATGTGGCCGGGAGTTTTCCTATTTTAGGGCCAACTAATTAAGCTAAAAAATACATACTAATAACTTGAATTACTTTACAAGTTTCCCAACATAAAATTCCCAGAAGTAGAACCAGTTTTACCGGCATTATGGTTTTAAAATACATGCAAATGTTTTTGTATAACCTAAGATCTATATAAGTTGTTCTATTTTGTGTTGAAATATGTTCTAAGTTGTAGCAGGAATACACCCTTTATACCATTTATCAATCTTCAAGGTTTTTTAATCTGAAATAATAATATTGTAGCCAATATTTATTTATTATTTCCTAAAAATGTTTATGTCTTGAAAAAGTATTAACTAATTGTCTGCATGTACACTAAAAAGCTGAAATATTAAAAAAACTTTACTAATTTGCAGTATAAGTGAAAGGATAATAGAATATTAGAAATAGTTGATTTCTATCTCCTTGAATAAGAATAACATATTTTATCATTCTATTACAACTGACCGATCTAAAAGGACTTGCCATGTGGTCATTTATATCCCACTTACATACTTGTTGATTGTTTCCAGGTGCGACTAAACGAACAGGAGCGAGCTGAGAAGCTGCAACCTCTTCTTGAGGCTGGCTGGACTTTGGTGGAGGGCCGCGATGCCATCTTTAAGCAGTTCATCCTGAAGGACTTCAACCAGGCCTTCAGCTTTATGACGGGAGTGGCCCTTTTGGCCGAGAAGATCAACCACCATCCTGAGTGGTTTAACTGCTACAACAAGGTGGACGTCACTCTGTCCACCCACGATGTTGGAGGCCTCAGTTCGCAGGACATTCGCATGGCTAATCACCTGGAAACCACGGCCAACTTGTTGAAATAAACGCTTTGTTATACTATTTACTAGTTGTCTATAATCTCTGAACTCCAATAAACACTCAACTCAGCATGGATTTGCTGAGAATTTGATAGTCGGCTTGTTCCAGTACATCCGGGGAGATCTCATCCTTGACGTAGCCCAGTTGGTTGAAGAAGGAAATGGACGGTTCGTTGTTGTTCAGGACGGTCAGCATGACCTTTTCTAGGCGCCAAAGGCGGGCGCAATCTTCCAAAATGCTCATGATGAATTTTCCCAGGCCTTTTCTTCGGTACTCCTCTGCCACTTGCATTTCGTAGCTACAAAAAGAGTTTTTAATTAAGAAGTATCTGTGATTGTATTTTACACTACAATGTAGTTACCAATATAAAACACTATCGCCGTGATCCATATCAAACCGAAACATGGCGTAGGCCACATTCTCCTTCTTCTCATTTTGGGCCACCAAATAGCGAGCCCAGTTTTTGTTTAACTCTGCGGATTTAATCTTCGGCTGCCAGCCCATCTTGAGTTGTTTGTAGTAGGGTCCAACGTTAATTTCAGCAAGTTTAAATGCCCATTTTAGTAACTTGGAATCCGCATCCGCCTTTGTTCGGCAAATCAGTTTGAATTCTTCTCCGCTGGGAGCCTTGTAACTTTGATAGCTTAGAGATTCTGCTGGATTTTTGGCTCTGGCAGCCGTCTCCACAAATCTCTGCTTGGCTCCTTGACTAAGTTCGTCTTTATTTGACATTATTTCATTAATTTATTTAGCAAAATAAAAATCAGACAGATTGAAGCGCGCAAATTAGTGATGGCAAAACCGCCTAAGCAAAAAAGCGATAGAGCTGCAAAAATTCTATGGCACTATAGATGTTCTAGGTTTTTCTGCGATTTTTCTTTTATTAGAGAGCTGAGAATAACAATTTTCTCCCCTTTTCTTATTTTTTATTAATTTTAAGTCTTCTTTGAACAATCAAATTGCTGAAACCTTGAATTTTAGTTAGCTGTTGTGTTAAAAGTTTTATCCCTGTCCTTTCTATCGGAGGTATCGATAATTTATTATAAACCAGCGATGTTTACTGTAGTTATGAGATAGTTGGTATTTTTAAGATTATTATTGTTGGTCACCTTATTATTTTTCATTCGTTTTATTTGTAAACAATTGCAAAAAAGTTACGAATTTAAGCTGAATAAATGTACATTGCCTAAAAATTCATTACAGATTAAACTGCCATTAAACTTATAAAACCGTAGAGTCCCCACCAGGTATCAATCTTTCAACTTTTTTGATTAAACGAGTAAACAGCTGACGTTATCAATTTTGTGAATTTCAGTTCACAATGTTTAAAAAATCCAAGCCCAAAATTGAACCACCTCCCACGGCTCCAAGTATTGAGGAAATGCTAGCGGACATGGAAACCTTTGAGGTCAATCAACCCACAAGCGGTCCTACGGATAATTCCGATTTGGAGCACGCCCTTCTCACGGAACCGGAGAATCTGTCGCTTTCAACATGGTGGCAAGTTTTCGACGAATACGATCAGAAAGTCAAGAAGTTATCGGCCACCGAGGAAAGTTTGGAAACCCAAAGAAATCAACTCAAAGAATGCTACGCAAAACTGGAAAATAATGCTGATAAATTAAGGGAGGGCATCAGAAAGCAACAGGCGCTGGCCAAAGAAGCTCTTAAATGTTGAGTTTGGATATTAAAAAAACTTTATTTTTAATATTTTACGTTTATTGGTTGTCAGGCAATAATCAAAAGCAATTAAATGTCTAATTTTCTATTGGCATGGATAGAACTGCCTTAAAGTCCATAATTACGTTGTTTTCAAAGATTTTTATTTTTACATATATCGGTAAGGAAGATCCTATTAGCTTTATGTGTTTATCGCTTCCAACTTAAAAAAGTTAAATCATATATAGGTTAATAAATATTGTTACATATGTACCTTAACTAGCAACGTGCATCTTCTCTTTTTTTTTGTAAATCCTCTAAATATTTATTTGTGTCCACTGTGCGTTGGTTTGTGTCCATGGTAAAACTTCAGCTTAAAGTATATTTATGGTTCCTTTTAAGACCATAGTATATTTTTCTGAGCCCGACATTTTAACGGTCAATTCGAGGTGCGGTCACACTGCTTGGTGGATGGTGGTCGAAAAAAGTTGTTAAAAGCGCAGAAAAACGAATTGTAATGCAAGTGCTTTAGTGACTGTGAAAAGTAAGCAGAGAAGCCAATAAATAAATTTAAAGTTAGACCCCTAACAACAGGGGCCAAAAATGGCACGGGAAAACGAAATTTACCCGATTTAGACCTGGATGATTGGGCAGAAGAACAGGTTTTAGGCCGTGGCAACAACGAAAAAAAAAGAAAAAAAACTGGCGACTGGCTTATACCATTTACGCCATTAACGGAGGTCGATTGTTTTCTAAGTGTGTGTGTTATATTTGGCTATATTCCACAAATCCAATTATCACAAACAGAAAAACAGAGTGCAACAATTCGTGGCTAATTGAATTTTACTTGTATTTTATTTTGGTTTGGGACCAGCGCAACAACAACAGCGAGCAGCGAGTAGAAAGAGAGAGGAGAGTGAAAAGAGAGGGGGTTTCTTTTGGCCAAAAGTTAAGCTCGGATAGAATACACACACACACACGCTTACGCATGTTGGGCAAAAACAATAATTATCCAATTAAACGCTTGTCAAAGAATGCATTTAATTTCATTGGCCAACATGGTAAGAAAGAGAGGCCAAAGAGAGCGCCTAACTAACAGTATTTTTCACGGGCATACCAATACCAATGACTCACGTGTGTGTGTATGTATGAAGTGCTAATGAGATGCTGTGACTCTCTTCCTCTTCTCGCCGTTTGTTGCTTTTGCCATTTATGCAAAAAGACGCAAAAAAAAGTAAAATTTTTTGAGCTGAACAAAAGATTTCGCGTAAAAGGTGAAAGCCACTCAGTGATCCGCCGTATACGCATTGCAGTTTCTTTGTGCCCCTGACCGTTAATGCAATCATCTCGCGATCATAACCGTTTCCGTTCTCGACTCGATTCTCAATTCTACGTTCTGGATTATCCATTCTACATAGATTCATTCAATTCTTCCAGCGAAGATGTCACTGTTTGGAGCAACTTTTTCGCAGCGAATCCCACAACAATAACAAATAACCAGCGCCAATGATGTGATACAGCAGCAGAGGTTGAGTTCGGAAAACACAACCTTCAAGTAGTTTAGGCCACCCACAATCACCCGGAACCGAATCCGGATCAAATCCACGATGAGCTGGCTGCTGGGCCTTCTGGGGCTGCAGATCCTGTTCCTCTGGCTTTTGCGGCTGCCCGGCGAGATCCTGGCCATACCCACGCCGCTCAAGTTGCCAGGTGAGTCGTGATTCCATAACGAAACAAAATCTGAAAATTAAAAAAATGTACTTCAATTTTTCCTACAATTAATTCTTCTTTTAAAAATTATAGTAACATTTAATTTTAAAACTCATAACATCATAATAATTTAGAATTTATTTTTTAGAAAATATTAAATATCCAGTTTTTATGACACCCAAATAATGTGTTTATAATATGTAACAGCTAAAAAAGTCAAAATTAGTAGTTTCAAAACGTGGAAAAAAAATATATGATCACAGCTTTAATAAACCGGCTACTTAAAAATTGTTATCCATTTTTCTATACTCAATTATTTTATGGTCTTAATAGTTCTAACCTAATCCTCTCAGACGCATGCTTTCTATTACTTACCATATCTTCAATTATATTTTAACACATTGTTAAGAGAAATTTCATTTTGTCATTACTGCCAGCAGCTTTCTCCTTCCTCCGCTAACCAAATGCCCCTTTCATCTTTTCAGGCTACACCCACAGGCTGACGCCTTATATTAAGCACTGGGAAGCGGCGAACTTCGATCGAGGGGTGCTGCAGGCGGCGCAGGTCAGACACCTGGAGCAGGCGCGCTTCCGGCAGAAGCGACAGGTGAGGACAGAGGCCACCACACAGAGTGGACTGGCGCACACCATACGCTTGAATTTCTCCGCCCACGACAGGTAAGTGCACTCGAGACTCGCAACAATCTCAAATAATCACTTAATCACCTAAAACTCCTCCTCACCCGCAGAGATTTTCGTCTGGTGCTGCGCCAACAGCCGCATTCGGTTTTCGCCCACGACGTGGAGATCGAGAACACTCTGGGTCCCATCGACTACGATGTGTCACGCATTTACACCGGCAGCCTGGAGGATGACGAGACGGCCCATGTCCAGGCGATCCTAACCAGCGACAATCTGCTGGACGGAACGATAGAGACCCAGGCGGAGCACTACTACATCGAGCCGGCGCAGCGATATTCCCAGCAGCTGGCCGAGAGCGGAGTCCACAGCATAGTCTATAAGTTAAGTGATGTAAATATGCAGAAGACACAGTTCTCTGGCGGAGGACTTAATTCCGAGGCGCCCGCCAAGTCGCACTGCGCCAGCGAGAAGCTGAGGAAGAAGCGCTGGTTGCCAGATGAGGTGAGTTATCAATATATTGTGTTTGTGGAAAATATGATAATAAAATAGAACGTAACATTTCTGTCTCTAACCCCCATAACAAGTTCACCTTTGCGTAAAGAGCTTTAAAATAAATTGTACAAAGCTCTATAGCCATTTTTATTAAAATATGAAATTATTACTAATTAATTAATTAATTCCTTTCAGCTGGCCATGTCGGATGCTCCAGCGCCAACGTATAATCGCAATCCCCCCCTGCCGCTGGATCTGGAGGTGCCCTACAACGACGACTTTCGCGTTCTCGCCTCCGAGGAAGACAAGAGCGAGGAGTCGCCGAGGAAGTACCCAACAACGTCCACAACTAGGAGCACCGTGCGAAGTACGGAGAGTTTCCTGGCCACGCTGACTAAGCCCACGTCGAACCGCAACATACTTGTAAATAACTACAATCCCTCCAATGTCGGCGAGGGAAGTCGCAGCTATAGCAACAGCAACAACAATGCCAACAGCAATAATAATAATAATAACTACAATAACAATAATAATAGTAATAACAATGTGCGGAAGTTGTACACCAAACACAAGAACATTATTGTGAGCACGTACAATCGACCCATCGAACCGGAATTCGGAACGCCCTACGAGGAACCGAATAACAATGGTACCCGCGACCTGCCCAGTAACTTCTTCAATGCCAACTGGACAACGCTCTTTCTGGGAAATAACAACAATGGCAATGACCGACCCAGTCACAAAACGCATGTGGAAATCATCACCAAGAATGGAGCCACCAAGAAGCCAAATATCATTGTCAATAACTACAATCCAGAGATAATATTCGCCCCAAATCCGCACAACCCAAGTTTTAACAGCATGCTAATGACAAATCTGTTAAGCGGTAGGGGCGGAGAGGATATTCATAGTTCTCCAAGGCTGCTCTACGATCGCAAGACTACCTGCATGTTGTATCTGCAGGCAGATCATACGTTCTTCCAGAAAATGGGTTCGGATGAGGCTTCGATAGAGGCTATCACGAGGCATGTGCAGCGGGCCAATACTATCTACCGGAATACGGACTTCAACAATGATGGAAAACCAGATAATATCACGTTCATGATTAAGCGCATCAAGGTGCACAACATGAATGCAATGAAAGATCCCAGTTACCGATTTCCTGGAAACTACGGAGTGGAAAAGTTTCTGGAATTGTTTTCGGGTGAGAGATTATAAATTTAAATGTTGCAAATTAGATATAATTGATTTTAAAGTCGTTCTCTGATTAATTGTTGGCTGTGATTTTATATGTATTTAGACTTTCTCTTTTGATTAATTGATATAAAATTATCATTATATGTATTTATTCGACACGTGTTCAATTATTTTTTTGGAAAGCCTTAAAATCTTAGTCATGTACATTTATTTTCGGAATGTGATACAAATCAATTAGAATAAGAAACGCAAATCGGTTTCTACCTGATAATTGAGGTCACCTACCCGTAAAAATGTGTCAATAACAAATTCATTTTTTAAGTATTAAATAATAAGTTTTGTTTTGGTATATAACTATCTTGACGATATTTTTGTGTCATTTATTTTTCAGAGGAGGACTATGATGCCTTTTGCTTGGCGTACATGTTCACTTATCGTGACTTCGAGATGGGAACTTTGGGATTGGCCTGGACGGGTGATCTAAAAAACGCTGGCGGAGTTTGCGAGAAGAATGGTCATTATAGGGGTTCTCTTAAGTCTCTTAATACGGGGATAGTCACACTGTTGAACTATGGAAAACATGTTCCACCTGCAGTGTCCCATGTGACATTGGCACATGAAATTGGCCACAACTTTGGATCACCGGTGAGAGTTACAAAATATTTAATAATAAAATCTAATCAAGTTATTTTTCCGATTTCAGCACGATCCAGAGCAGTGTACTCCTGGTGGTGAGGACGGAAACTTCATCATGTTTGCCCGTGCCACTTCGGGTGACAAGAAGAACAACAATAAGTTCAGCACCTGTTCTCTGAAATCAATAGAACCAGTGCTAAATGCCAAGGCACGTTCTATGAAGGGTTGTTTCACAGAACCGCAGTCCTCGATTTGTGGCAATGGCGTGGTGGAACCGGGCGAGCAGTGCGATTGTGGATGGGAGGAGGACTGCAAGGACTCGTGCTGTTTCCCCATGTCAAGGCAACCGCGTCTGGACGAAACTCCCTGCACCCTGACGCCTCATGCCCGTTGTAGTCCTTCGCAAGGACCCTGCTGCACCACCGACTGCAAGCTGAAATTCGGCGATAAGTGCCGGGATGATAATGGCTGCAGGGATCCTTCCTTCTGCGACGGTCGGGTGCCCCAGTGTCCTCCATCGGTGAACAAGCCGAACAAGACCATCTGCAACAAAGAGTTCGTCTGCTACATGGGCGACTGCACGGGAAGTATTTGTTTGGCCTACGGCCTTGAATCGTGTCAGTGCATTCCAGGACCTCAGGACGATCGGATCAAGTCCTGTGAGCTGTGCTGCAAGATGCCAGGGGAGGATAGTCCCTGCCGAAGTTCTTTCGAGTGGAATGAGGCTCCTTTCGATGTACCCGATATGTACTCGAAGCCGGGAACACCATGCAATGATTATAATGGGTGCGTATCTACCCTTTTGGAGAGCTTCCATTTTAATTTATTTCTCACAACTATAAGGTGCATTTTATAAAATTAAATGAAAGCTTATCTACGTATAACTCTTCCAAAATTATATTTAAATACTTCCTCTTCCACTACAGATACTGTGATGTTTTTCAAAAGTGCAGGGAGGTGGATCCTTCTGGTCCATTGGCTACTTTGCGTAAGCTCTTGCTTTCTGAGGAGAGCATAGCCACCTTTAAGAAGTGGATGCAGCACAACTGGTATACAGTAGCTCTGGCTGCTGTGGGCGTTATTCTGCTTCTGGTAAGTTATAAAACTTGCGATGTTACAGAAATTCTTAAATTCAATATTAAATATTCTTTGGTTAAAGTTAATTAAATTAATCACGCAAATGTTAAGGGATCAGGTCGAGGCCAAAGCGCAAGCAAGGGCTCAGACCTTGGGTGAGCACTCAGATTTCCAGGGCCCAAAAGTAATCCTGTAGAATATATAAATAACACTCATCTAGCAGTTGTCTCGTTGGCTAATTTAAGGGCAATTTTAGACTAAAAGTCATTGAAACATTTACCCTTGTTTCCTTTCCTTATATTATTTTTGAATTATATTTAAATTCAACTTGCTAACCGGTATTTAATTTTTCCTAGGCGCTAAGCACAAAGTTGCTGGCGAAGCGGTCGAATCTGAAGCTTAAGTCCGTCACCATTATACACAGTGCCACCACGGAGACAGTGCGTCTGCCCGAGAACAACAACGGTGTGATAGTTCACACAGCCGTGAGGACAAAGGTTCCATTCAAAAAGAAGGTTCGTGGCGAGAGGAGTAAAAAACCGGGAACAGGAGCTGTAACTGGAGCAGGAGTATCAAGCACAGCTGCAGTTGCTTCCCGAAGTGCAGCCAAAAGCAGTGCCAATTCAGAGCCAAAGAAAACCACTAGAACTCAAGCAATGGCCAAGAAGAAATCTCTCGAGGAGGAGCCAAAGAAATCCAACAAAAAGCTGGGCAAGCATATGAAGGAGATTATCGACTATTCGCATCGCAACAACAACGGGGATGATGCCTCAAATCTTTCAACCACCAACAACCATACCAACACCTTTGGCAAGGTGCAAAAGTGGCTGCTGGAATCGCCAATTGTGGCTCAGCCATTGTCCCACATTGAGCACAGTTCTCGGGTCCGCAAGGTTATGAGTAAATCCCAATCTACACCTGAAAGACTGGTGCAAAAGACACCACAGAAGACCAAGTCCATGGGTAATCTATCCAACGAGAAAGTTAAACTGCAGGTTGTCTACAAGCCGCCGTTCAAGTTCTCCTTAAGATTGTCCAAGAAACCAAAAGTGAAAACACATGTGGTGGGCGCAGGTGTACGGCCAAAAAGAGGTCAAAAGACAAGTAACCGAACAGCAGGCCAATCCTCCTCAAAAGATGTATCAACACGCGCCAAAAGGAGTGCTCTTTTGCTCTGCAACGAAGCAGAGGATGATAACCAGATCCTCACCCTCAACGAACCGAACTACGAGACCTTGAAGCCGCCCACACCGCCGAGGTCCATGGAACATTGCTACGAGAATGTGGATATGCAGGCAGAGGCCTCCAGTTCGAAGCCAAGCAGCAGCAGCAAGGTGGCACCCAGCTCACAAAACAGAGTCAATTTGGAGGAAACTCCGCCAGTATCAGCCCAGAGGAACTCTTATCGTAGGTCTAACTCCCTATCCACCCACAATCCCTTTGCGGCAGCTCCTCGTCGGAGCAGCAGCAAGGCCAGTGGATCGGTGAATCTCACGCGAAACTTTGGTAGCACGCAGAATTTGATTAATCTCAGTCAGAATTTGGCCAAAACCAAGAAGCGCAGCAGTCTGAACCTAAAGGGCAGTGGTAGTGGAGCAACAAGGAGCGGGAAGGATCCGCCAACTATGGCAGCTGCCTCGCCACAAAGGCGTTCCTCCTCGAACGCCAATCTTCGCAGGGACAGCAGTGTCTCCTCTTCGAAGGCATTGCCTGTTCCACCGACCAGGAACTCTCGAAATAGCTTCAGCAATATTCCAAGGGCCAGTTTAGGAGGAGGAAACAGCAATGCCTCCGCAAACACTGGGGCGCCGCCTAGTTTCTCTCGTCAATCTTCCAGCAGCACGGCAACCAGTAGCTCATCCATAACGCCAGGGCTACCCTCGGGAGTGGCGTTGCAGCAATCCGCCTCGACAAGCGCCATGCAGCGTCAGCCAACCTCGCAGCCCATGAGGAGAAGCCTCCACAATTTCAGGACGCGCGCCACAGGTACAGGCGCGGCAGCAACAACAGCAACTGGAAAACTGGGAGCAGCAGCAACATCTGCAGGAGCAACACCTGCAGCAGCGGCAACATCAACCGATAACAATGAGCTCCCTTCTGATCTGGAGGTAGTTGTTTCCGATGTGGAGAACCTCGTTAGCTAAGGGCAGCTCCCCCGTTCCAGTTTCCACAACCAACCAAGTGAAAGTGATAAGTCTTAATGTTAGTTATACAAATTGTCGCATAGGTTTACTTGCATACATATATATGTATTTGTACATACATTATATATATGTGTACTTTACACTGCCTTAAACTTGCCGTTTCTGCTGAATATGTGAAATACCACGCCCACTCACACGAACAGACATTAAACCGCATTCCACACGCCCATAAATATCCCGACCAAGGCTCGCCCCAGCACTTCGAATGCATCACCACCCGCTAAGCCACCCATCCAACCGCTCACCCACTCAACCACACGCCCACTGAAGCCACCGCAATCCAAACCGCCAGCCGCACTTTGTACCTTTTACTGTTTACTGTTTGTATTGTATTGTGTACACTGAAAATTTTACCAGCCTTTAAAGTTCCGGTTTCCAGATTCGATTATATTTAGGCGTTACAATGATATTGTCTGTAAAAATCTATTAGTTCTCTGATTTAGCCAAATATCTGACTGAAAGATTGCTACAATATATTAATTGGATACAGATCTATAACGTTTATAAACCCATTTTTTATAGTGGCTTAAATCTGATCAAATTAATTATAAAGAAAAGATTAAACTAAAAAAATTTATTTATATCCTTTCCGATCTAATCCAATTTGGAACTGGCAACTGGTGTATGTTTAGTTATTCTTTTTCGGTTTGTTATTTAAAAGAGCAAAACTAAATGAGCTTTACTTTAAAAAATAAATATCCCTATTATTTCAATATCAAATTTAGCTATTTCATAATCGTTATAAGAACACAAGCGAAACTGAATACCTTATCATACACCCCCTCCTTATGTTTGCCTAATCTTGGCCTATACTTTAAGTTAATTTCAAAACAGTATTACTGAAACTGTTACGTACCTACTATATACTTAAATTGCTTAGTTTGCCTGCTCTTCAAGTTTCCAACAACGATCACTACTCATCTAAACTACGAAGACACACAGAACAATACAAGGTGCTATTTTAGTGAAAAACTAAAACGAAAAAAATATTAGCCGAGAACATTTTCAAAATCCTTTGCATATTTTCTCAAGATCAAAACTAATATTAGAATGGAATAGAGAAAGATTGAAGTTGGTGTAGCCCACGAAGAAATAAAGGGAGCCGGGGAAAGTTGCAAATAGTTGTACGGAATAGATACAAAAATAACCAACGATACTGTCAATAAATCAAAAGCATCATGCATCGAAAGTAGGTTTTAGAGAATGCCCAGCAAGCCACATAGAAAGTTAGCCACCCAAACGTTTAAATAAATCCACCCGATATCCTTGAGCACCGGCACCTGTAAACTCGCATCGATCCCATAGTAACACCTGCAACTCAGTAGCCTGTAGTGTACATAGGATATTGAATGGACATAGTTTTTATATGCAATACCAAGTTAGAGCAATGAGAACAAACAATAAAGAGACACCTAACGATATTCATACATAAGTAGGATATAGAGTCACATTCCGTAACGAATCACTGAGCAGCGGCTTTCGAGTTACACACTAACACCCAAACAATAACGATCTTTAGGCTAAGGATAACGATTGATATTTGTAGCTATATGAATGTGTAGGAAATCAAACGGCGTATCAAAAATATATACATACATCCATATGGGACGTGCAATAACCATTGCAACTTTACGAGCATTTGGGTATATTTTTGTGTAATATACAAGATAGAAGACATAAGCTCAGCTCAAGAGACCGACAACCGACCCAAAATATTGAATATTGACAGACAGACAGTTAACGCGTTGGCCAGTAATGAAACGGAGAACGGAAATAGTTAAAACGAGTACGCGACAATCGCTTTGAAATGCTTAACATAAAAAACAATTAATGGTAAACCCGAAAATCGAATTGAAGTTTAGTTTCTACTTTGTCTTGACTACATATTTCAATACGAAACTATACAAAATAATGGCAGGCAAAAAAAAACTACAAAAAAAGATAACATTAGGAAACATAAAAATACATTGGAAAGAAAGGGAGTATGTGTGCCTAATAGATTTCAATAAATTCAAGGCAAAAGGGACGTAAATTGACGGTATTATTTTCCAGATATTTAAGCTCAAATTGGAAACAAAAAACTATTAGGAACATCTACTCTCATCCTGTGTGTTTTTTATTACCCAGTGAATTAATGACATGATTAAGAGAACATTTTGAATATTGCCAATGTTTGTGTACTGTATATAATTAAATGCAAAAGATTATTGTCTAAGCGGATGGACGAGAGTATTTTGAGCGTGACAAAAGACTATTTAGCGCGAAATGAACCATTTTTGTGTAATGTATATAAGAAACCGATTGATTTTAATCTAAATATACATAAATATTAATGTAATTGTAAAACTGCAAACGATTTTTAAATCTGTATGTGTATTGTGTACCTCAATTGTAATTAATTTTTATACTTTTCACGAGATGGATTAATGCTATTTTTATAATTTAGCTAAATAAATTATAAACACGTACTTACGTCTCCAGATCCCCCACGAAACCATTGCCTACCCCTAGTTAATGGCCAGTTTTTAATGTTCTCCAAAACAGCATACCCCATCCAACAACCTACATATGTAATTTTGTCAATTAAGAACACGTAAATGTCTTTAAGAAATCGAAAGAAAAAAACGAAATGAAACGAAGAAAACAAAAACCGAAGAGCAAAGAAGTGAATACTAGCATTTTACGATTAATAATTTTAATGACAATTTAAAACAATAATTAACGTATGTATTATGATTAGCGAACAAAAAGCACATGTGTGACAATTCAGTTGTACTTTATGTTACGATTACTACAATACTTTATTTATTAATCTTATCGTTAGTAACTAATTTTTAACCCGAACACACACACATATGCGATACTTTATAATTTCCTCATTTTAAGCAAAATTCAATTAACAATAAAAACGAAACTAATAATTAAGGACGTTTGACTTGACATGTTCCAAACTTAAGAGGACTTCTTTTCTGCTTTTTCCAGCTTCAAGGCCCGCTTAGCCATAATCCAAAAGTAAAGACTTGGACATAAATGGCGAAGGTAATATGCAATCTTAGCTTGAGCGTCGCTGACAATTATATCGGGTTCTTTACGGAGAATGCATTGTAGAATGCGTTCTGCTAGTTTCTCGGGGGACATGCCCTTAGCCGTGGTTTCGTCCATTTCTAGAGGGGAACGTATGTATAATAGAGTTAGTTTTAGTGTTCATTTATTTCGGAAAAAAACAGGGAAGATCTGGCACTTTACTTACTTCCATAGCTGCTTCCCGATCCTGTTAAAGCGTTTAGAGAGAGTTGAGTACGTATATACCCTGGACTAACACAGGACACGTTTATGTTTTTGTTGGCTACTTCAGCTCGCAGAGAATCGGCAAAGGCCTGCATGGCATGCTTCGAGGCGGAATAGGCGGCCCTCTGGGGAATGGCGAATTTTCCCTGAACTGAGCTAATGAAGCAGATGTGACCACTACCACGTTTAACCATTGAAGGAAGTAGAGCTAGGAAACAAAAACATATTTAGTCGACTTCTGTGAAAATTAAAGCATTTCTCACCTTTAGTTAGGGCAACACCTCCGAAATAGTTGACCACCATCACCTTAAGATCCACATCCACTGCTGTGGATGCCACATCCGCTCGTACACTGATCCCTCCATTGTTAATCAGAATGTCCACTTGATTATAAACGGCCAATACACGGGTGACAAATTCTGGAATGGAATTCAATTCAGCCAGATCAAGAGCCAACACAGTAGGTGGATAGGCGGGATCCTGGAAGGATTAGGGATTTTTTTAATTTAAATGATCATCTTTAATTTGATTGGAAAAAGGAAGTTGATGGCCGACGTATGCGATAATGGATACAAAATTCAGGTAAATTAAAAAAACAAATATTCTAGACTTTACCACATCCAGTGCGAGGAGATCCTTCTTAACCCGCTCCAATTCCTGAGTTCTGCGAGCCGCCAAAATCACCTTACATCCAGCCCGGTAGAAGACGTGGGCCAGGGATTCACCCAATCCCGAACTTGCACCCGTTATAAGCACCACCTTTAAATGGTTTACATAATTAACCGGCTAATCAGTAATTAATGTTTTCTCATTACCTTGCCGGGCAACTGATTACGGTATTTTTGGGCCCGGAATCGCTGCCATATGTTCACGAGAGCCAATGGAAGGGCCACAGGCATTAGGATCGTCCCCAGCACCCAGTAAAGGACGTTCCAGTCGCTGTTGGGAACACATTTTTCCAGGTCCTGCTCTTTCATATTTTTAATCAACCGATTTAAACCTTTGAACTCTTTTCCAAATGCAAAATGATTAGCAACGAAAACAAAACTGCAACTGCCATTCACTGGAAAGAGAAGACATTTAAGCTCATATAAGATACAAATATATTAACTCGATTTACACATTTTTTTAACTTAACTTGAACTATTGTTAAACAAAAAATTATCGAAAAAATAACTTTACCTATTGAAGCTTTTTTTTTAAATAAATATTTGTAGTCTATTAATTATAGCATTTATGTATGTTCGTTACAGTTTCATTGATTTCTAGCTATCTAATAATTACTGTACCGTACAGATGTGCTTGCCGTTCACTGCGAATGGTAACTGGAAACAGCTGATTATTGTTACGTTATTTAGTTGCAAAGGCACCTAGTGCAAATAAATTTTATGAAAATTAAGCAAATGCTGCGATGAATAGCCTCCTGCGACATGGACATCGCCTGGGCTGCTGCCTGCCGGCTGTCCAGCAGCAAATCCACACCACCGCTGTACACAGGACTTTCTGGGAGCGCGAAAAGAAGTCGGGCTACAAGACCAAACTGCCGGAGCCCTCAAAAAAACAGCTTATCATTGACGGGTTGAGAGATCTGAAAGAGGAGATGAAACTCTGGCGCAAGGAAGTCAGGGAGCAGCTGAAGAGTGACCCCATCCTGGTCTTTCGCCCGGGAGAAACGGATGTGGTCTTTGATTTCAAAGCGCCGGATGTGCTGGACAAGTGGACGGTGACATCAGATGCTGATCACGGCGAGGGCAAAAGCACTGCTACCTTGGAGCTCAGTTCAGCCGGAGCGGGACTCTTCCACGGAGACGTCAACTCGGATCACACAAAGGATGGCATCATTAAGAGAACTGGATATGCAAATATACGTACCAAGAGAGTGCGGGTGGGTTATCTATGGATATGTCTCTAAAGAGGACTACCTACTAACACTCTACATTTATCCGTTCAACCTAGAAATCCTTCAAGCGGGAGTCAACCTACGACTGGACGCAGTATAACATGCTGATCATGAAAGTCCGAGGCGATGGACGCAGCTACCTGATCAATTTGCACACCGAGGGCTACTTTGATCTGATGTGGAATGACATTTACCACTATGTTTTGTATACGCGCGGTGGTCCCCACTGGCAGATAGCCAAGATTCCCTTCTCCAAGTTCTTTCTCTCCTCGAAGGGACGGGTTCAGGATCGCCAGGGAGCCATACCGCTAAATAGGGTGACCCACTTTGGATTCTCTGTGGCCGCGAAGAAGGGTATGGATGGTCCGTTCGGCCTAGAAATAGATTATGTGGGTCTGGAGTACGATCCTAGTCATCGCGAAGAGTTCGCCTACGAGATGTACCAAACACCAAAATACATTGTGGCCACGTAACGTAACGCTTACGTTACGACAGTGTTATTTAATTGTAGAATACGAACGAAGAACAGTAAAGCTTGGTTAACAAAATAACAAACTTGTTGGTGTGATTTTCATTCGTCTTTGATCTACGGAGAACTTTACAACTTTACTTTTATAATATATGACTAGTTTAATTGCTGAAATATTATTATGCATTTTTTTTCATCAACCTAATATTAGAGTTTATTAAGATCGTAAGCTAAGTTTTTTTTGTATAGTCAGTCCCCACTGTGTACTCAGCTGATTCCTCGCTCTTCTACTCTCTTTCATCTCTCCCTATCTTGTTTTGCAGTAACTTTTTCTTTGCAATCAGCTGTTTAAATGTTTACATTCACATCGTCGAATCTTCAGGGTCATTTTAGCGTTGAAATTGCAGTTTTCGTTCCTTTTCCAAAGCTTATTTAGCCTCTCCACGACTGCCAATTAGCGCTTTCTGTATTTTGTGTGAATGCGCGGTTAGTGTTTTCCGCTCAGTCTGCTCCGAAACTTCGACCGATAAAAACTGCCGGAAAACTTCCGCTTCAATTTTTAAGTTTCATCGCGGGAGATATTGTCAACTGGTGCTCCACTATCATTATCAGACATTAGATAAAATCATGGTAAGTGGTTTTCTAAGAAGACAAATAAAAAAACTGTGCCAGCCAGAAAACGTTTGAAAAAATATAGACAAAAGCTAGAAAAACGTGACCATGTGGCAGTTCAGTCACCGAGACCTTGAACACACGTTGTTCATTCTAATCCTGGCTGTAACCACAACAAACTAAATCGATACTAGTCGGCGGTCTTTACGCACTTTACCGGTTTGCTCGATCTATTTAATTTATGCGCCAAAAATAGAAAATAAATGATACGCAATGAGACCAAACCAGTTGGCCACCATCGAATCGAAAGTGTTGGGTGCAAGAAACCAGTTCTTGTTACCATTCCTGTTATCGCGACTCTGTCTCCACCTTATTTTTTACCTGTTGTCTGAGTTTTACCTTCAGTTTTACCTCCATCGGCGTCATTTGCTGACGTGTGTAGTCAGTCCACTGCAAAAATGGTGCAATTTACGGTAGTCCCAATCTCTAAAACTTAGCCTATAGAAAGCATCCCCAATCTGTAAAATAACTTAGAAAAATTAAGTATTTTTGACTGATCTTATTTCTATAAATATTTGATTCCATTATTACATCACAATCTGTCTTTTAATATTCAGAAAAGTCAGTGAATACTTTTTAATTGTTATACGTTAAAATATTTAATTACAGTACTTAAAAATCATTTAAGCAAGGATAAGATTTTAAAACAAAATGATGATTTGAATCATGGAAAATTATAGTGCTCCTATTACGATTTATAAAATATATTTTTCTATAATCTATAATCTCTAATAGGAGGAGACGTATCTGTACGATCCCAGTCTGCTGATAAAGCTGGACTTCCATCGCAGTCCCGCCAAGTTCAAGCCCTTCATATCAGCGGCTAGTCCCGGCGAGCCGTGGATGAAAGTGCGTCCTCTCAAGGACACCGACTACGATCGTGGGTTCCTGCAGCTGCTTTCCCAACTTACTCACGTTGGCAATGTAAATCGCACGCAGTTTTTAAGTAAGCCTATAATCACAACTTATTTGATCTAATTTTTCATTGACTAAATTCCTTTTTAGCCCGCTTCTCGCAGATGAAAGCTAGTGGGGATTATTTTGTCACTGTTATTGAGGACACTCGCAAGAATGAAATTATTGGAGCTGCATCCTTGGTTATTGAGCGCAAGTTCATCCACAATTGTGCTGTGGTAAGTTTAAAAAATATAAGATGTCATCTTACCCATAAAATGAATATTTAAATTTGTTTTTTTTCTTTAGCGTGGTCGTCTGGAGGATGTGGTGGTTAATGATACCTATCGCGGCAAGCAACTGGGCAAACTGTAAGCGTAACGTGAATGTACCTCTTTCCGATAAAAAAAACTAATCCAATTAAATATTCTATAGAATTGTTGTCACTGTATCGCTGTTGGCCGAGGAACTGGGCTGCTACAAAATGTCGCTGGATTGCAAGGACAAGTTGATCAAGTTTTACGAGTCGCTTGGCTATGTGGCCATCCCCGGAAACTCCAACTCCATGACGATTCGTTATGATGAGGGTCCAACGCTGAAGCGGAATGCTACCTCTGCTGGCTCCAGTGGAACAGTGGGCGACTCCTGCCAAACTGTGAGCCTCGATTTTGCCTCTTGACAATTAGCCGCCAACGCTGCTCCAAAGTCCAAGCTTTGAGTGGGTGCACAACCCAACTCAAAGTTACAACTGCGCGAAGCGCAATGAAAAAAAACAGAAAATTGGATTCCAAAAAACATTACAATGCTTTGCATTGCCAAAATACCATTGCGCTGAGTGCATTATGGATTTTTGGACAGCGCTGGCAGGCGGTGATGTCCTTGTGGGACCGTGATTTCCACCCACCCGCGAGGACATACAATTAGTTATTTAGTCAACCGCAACAAATGTTGCTCTCTGTTTTTAATCCCTACAGAACTTTCAATTTTATAATTTTTTCTCCCCTTTCTGCTACTGAATGTGCGGCTCTACTCTCAACTCAAAGGTAGTTGTAATATTACCTTTTAAAAGCACCTTCATTAAGTAGCCTTAAGTTTCATAAACTCAAATAAATACACTATATATAAAACTAATCAACAATTGCGATAAGACTCAGCAGAATCTCACAGAAAACACTAAAGACTTTTTAAAAACATCGATTAAATAAAATGATAAATTTAAAAATTTACACATTGGATTTATTTTTTTTATGTTGTTAAAAAAATATTTTGAAATTTTATCAACTGACAACATTTTTATTTAGCATTATTATTTACAAATATTTTAGTATTAGGAGATATTATTAACTGCTATTGAAAAATAGTGATGATCCTAGTCTGTTTATTTGTTTTGGCTAAATTTTAACTATTAATTAAATATATCATAATGAATTTATTCCACAAACTGTAAACTTACGAATTAGAATAGTGTGCAGCTCAAAATATCGAGTTACATGTATGCATACGAAAGTTTCTTTAGTGTTTCTTGCAAGGTACTTATTGAATCGAAGTCTTCTCTATTTACATGGGACTTAAATCGGGGGCAGAAGCTGGGTAAACCCAGCCTCCTCCGCGTCTCATGAGTACGAACACAGGTGTCCGCACTTGGGGCACTTTGAGTGCTTGGCAAAGTACTTTTGAAGATGCTCGATGTGGCCGCCATGGGAGCATCCTTGGCACCAGGCGTAAAGGCCCCGGACGATCAGACCGCAGACGCAGCACTTGGCGGACTGCATGGACTTGCACTTGTCGCAGTACCATCCTACTTTCCCGCCCATAGGGCGACCGCATTCTCCGCAGTTCGTGTGCATGGACGTCGAGTGCTGGTTAAGCTGCTGCACCGATCGCAGCCATGATCGGTTGATCACCTCGCAAGCCTCGTTCCATAACTCATAGCGATGCAGCTGGTCTACATAGGTATAGAACCAGTGCTCCTGGGAAGGAAACACCGAATGATTACTATTAATTGGTGCAAAGATAGGTATATTTACTCACCACCAAAGTATCGTCAATGGGCAGTAGTTTACGGGCTTCTCCCAACGCTATAAGGACTGTGAGAGCTGTTTGAACATCACCAACATCGTTCATCAGCATTAGGGCATCAGAAACAAATTTATGTGGCTCCCACATGGGGATGGGCGGAACATGACTTACTTTCAGTACAGTAGGAACATGTGGTGGCTATAATAACAATAAAAAAATATAATAAGCCATATAAAATTCGTTACATCTAAGTTACCGGCGACTTCTCGTGATCGGATGCCTTGAGATCCAGTTGAGGACGAGCTGCCTGAACATCGTGATGCAGGGCAGGAAATGCCAAAGCCTTGGCGCATTCTGTGGGTCCTACATAAATAAATCCATTGCGCAAAAGCTCAAAGTTGTCAAAGGTAATCTCGCTTATGATCTGCGTCTCGGAGAGAATCACTGAGCTCGTGGGCGGATGCTCCACACCGCTGCCACCAAGCGGATCATCGTCGTCATTCGCTACGTCAACCTCATTGGCCGTCTCCGGCGTGTTCCCATTGAGATCCTGGCCCAGTTCACTCCGCTGCTGGGGCCAATCGCTGGCTACTTGGGTGGAACGGCGGGAGTTCATCGGATTCTTTTGGTTGGAGAAGGAGGACCGGTGCTCGAAAGGAGGCTCAAAGTGATTGCTGCCGTAGAAGAGTTTGATAAAGTTCCACAGCGTGGTCGCCTGTAAAAACATGTTAGTAACTATTCGGCTATGAGGTTAGGTTCAATTTTTACATTATGTTTTCCGTATTTCTTGGACACCTCTGCGTTGTGCTCGCAAAGCTCTGCGAGCTTCTTGCCACTAATAATCAGTTCCTTAGCACAGCCAATAAAACTCTCATGTTCTTGGGTAGGTCTCGAAACGGATTCACTTAGGGGATAGCCAGAAAACTGCAAACATTTAAGTGGTTAAGATATGTCCTTATGTTCTTACTTACCTACTCACCGTATCATTTAAAATGAATTTGTACATCTTGGAATGGTCCAAATGAAACTGAACAATACCAGCTACATTCGTTTTTCGGCGACTTCTAAAATAAATATCATTAATAACTAGCAATTAATACAATTAAGTAAACTTACATAAAGCTGGAGGACTTGGTGTTAGAAGCACCACTGGTCTTTGGAGCATATTCCTTGATCTTGTAGGCAAAGGAAATGTCGCCAAATCTCCCCAAACTGGCTCCCTGGGCATTAGCCTTCATCGCCGGTCTTGTGGCATCTTTAAAAGCATGCTTATATATGGTGGAGTCCTTGCTGATGGAGAGCAGACAGTGGGAATCGCTGCCCTGCCACGCAATTCCAGTAGTCACATTGGTGTGCTCGTTGAAGGAGGCAAAGGGGATGTACGGTCTCCGGATGTCCCAAACATGCACGCTGTAGTCCACCACTAGTGCGCAGCTGGCAATGTGATAACTGGGGGGATTGGGCTGAGTTAATATATATAAAGGTTTGAAAGATATCTCAAACCCACGTTCTTTCCGGCCGCCACTTCACTCGTCCCACCACTGCTATCGTATGGATGGTGTGCTCCAATCCAGGCCTGCCGTCCATGTTCCACACCTTTATCTGCTTGTCCCGACTGCCGGTGGCCAGCCAATTCCGCGTGGGATGCCAATCGCAGGTGTAGACCGGTCCGTAGTGCGCCGTGAATTGCACCATGCACTTGTCCCACTTCCTCATGTCCCACAGTTGGACGGTTCCATTCTCGGAGACAGCGGAGAATATGTTCTGTGTGTGCGGACTGAACTTGACATCCCTCACCGACTCCGAATTGCAGAAATATGTGTTTACGGACTTATCTGATCGGATGTCGAAGCATTTAATTGTGCCATCCTGAGATCCAGAGATTAGGATGTTGGGTTCGCTGCTATGGAAGGTTACAGTGTGGGCAGTACGTTCATGTTCATTATAGACAAGGAGCTGTTTCTGCCGACCGAACTTGGAGAGATCCCACACGGAAACTACGCCATTGGTGGCCGCTGTGGCCAGAAGATTGCTATCCAATGTGGACCAGGCCACATCGTTAGCGGAATAGCTAAGATTCTGGTTCTTCCCGCGCATATTACACGATTCCGTAAAGCCATTGCTGTTGATGGCATACACTTTAAGCACTGTTGGCGAGAATATCAGATGTATTAATAGAAAAACCTTGAACGCTTTTAATCTTACAGCTCCTTCCAGCCAAAGCGATCTGGTTGTTATCCTTGTTTAAGGCCAAGGCATTCGCATGTCCTTCCACGCAAATCCGCAGCGAGATTGTGGAGGTGTCCTTGTCCTCCAAGGAATCAGGCATCCTGCAGCAGTTGCAATTGGGCCCTCGGAAAACAAAACAGTGATTTGATAACGCAAGACGCTATCGCCTTTTTTTCTGTTGGTTCAGTATGACCGTTTCTATATTGGCAAAACGATGCGGTAAATGTTCTGAAACACGCAACGAAAAGAGATTTCAAAGAGAAATTCTAATTGATTATTGAGATTTTATTGAGACAAATTAAAAAAAACATACAATTCAATTTTTTTCTTGTTATAATGTATTAAAATTATTTTAATAGTAGAACTTCTTTTTATTAATTTTAAAATAATTTCAAACAAATAACAATAGTCCAGAAAAATCGATAGAAAATAGGTTTTTTAGTTGGAGCTTTTTTCCAAAATATACTTGGAACACCCCATTAGGAACTGCTAAATAATGCGCTGCATTTCCAGAGCGCTCTTACCGGCAGAGTGGCAACGCCAGCCTTGCGCCCTTGCTGTTTACAAAAATCACGGTCGACTTTTACGGAAATTGCAATTATTAGCGCAACAAGTTGCCGTGTAAAAGCAGGCGATTGGAGCCAGGTTATCCTTCCCCAAAATGCCGGACATCAAGATAACGCCGCTGGGCGCCGGCCAGGATGTGGGCCGCAGCTGCTTGCTGCTTTCGATGGGCGGCAAGAACATAATGCTCGACTGCGGGATGCATATGGGCTATAACGATGAGCGACGATTCCCGGATTTTTCCTATATAGTGCCGGAGGGACCGATCACCAGCCACATCGACTGCGTGATCATCTCCCACTTCCACCTAGGTGAGACTTTTAGTTCCGGCCACTCCTTATCTGGGCAACACCGGGTCTAATCGTTTCTTTATCAATCCAGATCACTGTGGTGCTTTGCCCTACATGTCCGAAATTGTGGGCTACACCGGACCCATCTACATGACGCACCCAACCAAGGCCATTGCACCCATTCTCCTTGAAGACATGCGCAAGGTGGCCGTGGAGCGCAAGGGCGAGTCGAACTTCTTCACCACCCAGATGATCAAGGACTGCATGAAAAAGGTGATACCAGTCACGCTCCACCAGAGCATGATGGTGGACACGGATCTGGAGATAAAAGCCTACTACGCGGGTCATGTCTTAGGTGCCGCCATGTTTTGGATCAAGGTGGGCTCCCAGAGCGTTGTCTACACGGGGGATTACAATATGACCCCGGATAGGCATCTCGGCGCCGCGTGGATAGACAAGTGTCGGCCGGATTTGCTTATCTCCGAGAGCACCTACGCAACCACAATAAGGGATTCAAAGCGCTGTCGCGAAAGGGACTTTCTCAAGAAAGTGCACGAGTGCGTGGCGAAGGGTGGCAAGGTTCTGATCCCCGTTTTCGCATTAGGTCGCGCACAGGAATTGTGCATTCTGCTGGAAACCTACTGGGAGCGCATGAACCTGAAGTACCCCATCTACTTTGCCCTGGGTCTCACAGAAAAGGCCAACACCTATTACAAAATGTTTATCACCTGGACGAACCAAAAGATCCGAAAGACCTTTGTCCATCGGAACATGTTTGATTTTAAGCACATCAAGCCATTTGACAAGGCCTATATTGATAATCCTGGAGCAATGGTGGTGTTTGCCACGCCGGGAATGCTGCACGCGGGTCTCTCCCTGCAGATTTTCAAGAAGTGGGCGCCCAACGAGAATAACATGGTGATTATGCCCGGCTATTGTGTGCAGGGAACCGTGGGCAACAAGATCCTTGGAGGCGCCAAGAAGGTAGAGTTCGAGAACCGCCAGGTTGTGGAAGTCAAAATGGCCGTGGAGTACATGAGTTTTTCGGCCCATGCCGATGCCAAAGGTAGCTAGAAACTAACATGTTTGATATGACAATTATAACCTTATTCTCTTTGCAGGCATTATGCAGCTAATCCAGAACTGTGAGCCAAAGAACGTAATGCTCGTCCATGGTGAAGCAGAAAAGATGAAGTTCCTGCGATCGAAGATCAAAGACGAGTTTAACCTGGAAACCTACATGCCGGCCAATGGCGAGACCTGTGTAATTTCCACGCCCGTCAAAATACCCGTAGATGCTTCTGTTTCGCTGTTAAAAGCCGAGGCCCGATCATATAACGCTCAACCGCCAGATCCCAAGCGACGGCGGCTCATCCACGGCGTCCTTGTGATGAAGGACAATCGAATAATGCTGCAAAACCTGACCGATGCCCTAAAGGAGATCGGCATTAACCGGCATGTGATGCGATTCACTTCCAAGGTCAAGATGGACGATCCTGGACCCATGATCCGAACTAGTGAAAGGCTCAAAACTCTTCTCGAAGAAAAGCTGGCCGGTTGGACAGTGACGATGCAGGAAAATGGCTCCATAGCCATTGAATCCGTTGAGGTGAAGGTGGAGGAGGACGAGAAAGACCCGAAGCAGAAGACAATTTTGATATCCTGGACCAACCAGGACGAGGACATTGGAGCCTATATACTGAATGTGCTCCAGAATATGTGCTAAGCAAAGAGCGAAGCATCCCAATGAAATCCCATGCCTTAATTCCATAGATAAGCACAAAGTGTAGTTGTCATTTTCTAAAATTGAAATGTGGGTTGAAATATACGTAAATAATCCAATAAGGCTGCGGGTTTTACATTCACTGGCTTTTTTATGACATCGTTTGTCTACTTAAAAATTTTTAAAAATGTTTGCTAATAATTAATTTGTCTTTAGAGGGAATTGAGAAAGCATTGTAGTTTTAAATTGATCATAAAATGATAAAATAAATTTTATAAAAGCCAAAACAGACCTTTAAAATTCCTCTCTAAATTCCTTGCATCCCACATCACAAAGTTAAAGAGTCCAAGAGGTTAGAGATATTTTCGTTCGTTCCACGCTATTTATTCTGGGAGTTTTTTCTGAAAGTGTAACATTACTAGGGTTCCAGGCGTCGCTCCTGGTGCCTGGCACCATATGCAATTAGCTTTATGTATCGTTGGAGCCTTTTGAACACAGAAACTTCGCTTATGTCAGGGCGGCGGCACCGGAGATGATTTCAATCAGCTCGCGAGTGATGACCGCCTGTCGGGTGCGGTTGAAGGTGAGGGTCAGTTTGTCGATCATCTCACCGGCGTTCTTGGAAGCGTTGTCCATGGCAGTCATGCGGGAGGACTGCTCCGAGCAGGCGCCCTCCTTCATGGTGTAGAAGATGAGTGAGGCCAGCGAGAACTCCAGGTAGCTCTTGACAACATCGCTATCGAGCGAATCGTAGACGGCCAGCTTCTCGGACTTCTCCACGGTGGCTCCACTGTAGATGGGAAGGGTGGAGCACTGGTAGGACACCACGGACTTAAACCGGTTGTAGACGATCTTGCCCTCGGTGTAATCGTAACCGGCCTGCAACACCTCGTTGGCAATCTTCGAGGCGTCCAAGAAAGTGGGCGGCAGACGGCCCACCTCATTGGCCACCATCAGGATGTTCTTGCCGTACAGACGGGAAAGAATAGCGCGCGACTTGTCGCCAACGCAGAAAACCTTGGTGTTTGCCTCGTCCTGGGCCAGTTCTCCACGAATGAGACGAGCCACACCAGTGTGGACGGCTCCGCAAAGACCACGATCGGAAGTCACCGCGATGAGCAGCTTCTTGGGCTCCGCCTTCTCGTCCGCCTGGATCTCCGTCTTCTCGAAGAACTGCTGGGCACCAACGCCGTAGGGACGCGCCGCTTTTAAGTCTCGCTCCGCACGAGCGTACTTTGCAGCGGACACCATCTTCATCGATTGCGTAATTTTCTGAATGTTCTTCACGGACTTCAGGCGCATCGAAATCATCTTCAGGGTGGCCATGCCACGCTGCTGCTGGGCCAGCACGGTGGCCTCCATTGCCAAGGGCAGCAAGAGCTGGGTGCGTTGCATCATTGTCCTGTGAGCTGTCGAAGATTCCCTGCCACAAAAATTAACTCAATTTCAACTCGGCAAAATGGTCGGAGAAAATTCACCTGCGTTAAGTTGGCTGCGCCACAACGAGTGTTATAACACCGAGGGTAGTTGCCACCCCGTTGAAGGTGGTAGTTATTCGTAGTGAATGGCAATCAGACGCGTAGAAAATGGGGTTCACTTTTAATTAATTATACTTTTTAATACTTTTTAAAGTATTAATAAATTTTATACTAATTGTTGTCAGATGAAATACATATTTTATAAAATAACAACAATAAGTAATTACTTGAAATCTACGTACAGCTTACGTACACATAGCAAGAAAATGTGCAAGGATAAGTTAGATAATCATAAATATTAAATATTTATTATAATATTTATTATAATATTTTAATATTTATTATAATATTTTAATATTTATTAAATTTCAATTTAAACAGTAAAAATGAGGTTATTAATTTCTATTGAAAATAAGGCCTTTTGAATAATAACATACATAATTTTAAAAAAATTTCTCGAACTTTTAAGATTGTAATGCCTGTTTTATACTGAGGAGGGTATTATAGCTTATATAGGTTCTGGTTGCGCTTGGACAATAAACTTACCCTTTAAAAACTTTAAATCCTATTAAGGGGCCACAAAACCAAAAATATGGAATGAATTATTTGAGCAAGTAAGTAAATAAATGTTATTATGTTTAATTAACTAATAACAAAGATAAAGCCAATAATTGTTAAAAATTGGTTGTGCAAAGATGTCAAATTGTTTTCTAGCCTCGTACAGAGTTGCCCTCCTATCCTCTGTTGCAGTCAGCTGCTCACGCACGCCATCCCTTGGTCCGTCACTAACGCCTCACGCAAAAAAAGCTGACGTACTCGGGAAAAAGATTAGGATAATTCGACGGAGACGAGTGCCCGATCCGATCAATTGACTTCCCCGCCCCCGCAATAAAGCCACATATATCAGATCGTCCTAGCCAGGATTCCCAGGATCCCAGGGATGAGAGCTCTCAGGACGAAAAACAGCGGATAAGTTAGCCAGCGGTGTGTGTGTGTGTGTGCAAAGCTGGAAAATTGTTGCTGCGCAGCGGAGAACTTATAGGACATATAGCAGCAGAATTGGCATGACGAAGATTAAGATAAAGCTAAAGACAGAGGCATAAGTCATAAGGCTAAACCAAAAATCGGAGGCTCCACAACCGAATTCAGTGCCTTTGCAGCAGCAACAAGGTGTGTGCGAGTGTGCGTGTGTTTTGCCTGCGCAGTGTGTTGTTGTTGCAGTTGCAATCACCAGCAGCAGTTGTTGTTGTTGTTGCGTCGTGACACAACAGTAACAAAATATTGAGCCGCCGAGCAAAACACATGATGTGGTCGTTCTTCTCGCGCGACTCCTCGAAAGACTTTCCCTACGACATTGGCGAACCCGTGGGCGGTTTTGATCAGTACTCCATATGGACACTGCACAAGGCCAAACGCAAGAGCACGCTGGAGGAGGTGTCCGTGTTTGTCTATGACATTCGCAGCGGATCCGACACCAAATGCGAACTAGCCAAGGCATCGCTAAAGAGGTTAAAGACATTGCGTCACCCCAGCATCCTGCAGTACCTGGACTCCCTGGAAACGGACAAGATGCTGTACGTGGCCACCGAGGCGGTGGATCCGCTGGGCAGCTATTTCGCCAAGTTGGGCAGCGACAATGTGCAGAAGGGTCTCTACCTGGCCTGGGGCATCTTCCAGATCACAGTAAGTTTAGGATATATCTATATATTTACTACTTTAATGAAACTGTAATTTCTTTCAGCGCGCCTTGTCCTTCCTCAACAACGATGGCAATCTGCGACACAACAATGTCTCAGCCTGGTCGGTATTCGTAAATGCCTCTGGCGAGTGGAAGCTGGGCAGCCTGGAGTATGTTTCAGCGGCTGATGGCAATCCCATGCCGCCCGCCAAGATACCAGTGACCCTGGAGGTTTATGATTCCCCAGAGAAAAATGATCAGACCAAGCTCAAGGCGGCCACTAAATGGTACACATACCATTTACCCTTTTACTGTTTTAATCTTAAAGTCTACTTTATCTACTAGTTCCGTGGACATGTGGGGCCTGGGCTGTCTAGTTTGGGAGGCCTTCAATGGCGTTCTCAAGCAACGTTCTAACCTCAAGGACATTGAACACATACCTAAATCCTTGCAATCACTATACTGTGAATTAGTGGGAGCCTCGCCTTCGAATCGCCCTAACCCGGCCGACATAATCACACGTTGCCGCAAGCCTGGAGGCTTTTTTAAGAACGATTTGGTGGACACTTTGCTCTTCCTGGAGGAAATCCAAATCAAGGATAAGGCAGAGAAGAATCGCTTCTTCAGTGGACTCACCACGCATCTGGATAACTTTCCTGACAATGTGTGCAGGCACAAGATACTTCCACAACTGATAACAGCCTACGAGTATGGAGATGCGGGATCGGCAGTGCTGGCACCCATGTTTAAGGTTGTACATTGAATTTATACCCCTTATCTGGCTTGAGTTCATACAGAATTAAATTCTTGCAGCTGGGCAAACTGCTGGACGAAGTGGAATACCAAAAACGCATTGTGCCCTGTGTGGTCAAGTTGTTTGCTTCCACGGATCGTGTGACGCGGTCGCGCCTGCTGCAGCAATTGGATCTGTTCGTCGCGCATTTGCAGCCACAGGTGGTCAACGATCAGATTTTCCCACAGGTGGCTCACGGTTTCCTAGATACCAATGCCACCATACGCGAGCAGACGGTCAAATCGATAATCCATTTGGCGCCTAAGCTCAACTACAACAATTTAAATGTGGAGGTGCTGCGTCACTTTGCCAGGCTGCAGGCGCGGGATGACCAAGGCGGTATTCGCACTAATACGACGGTGTGTCTGGGCAAGATTGCGCCGCACTTGCATCCGCAGGTGCGTCAACGCGTGCTGGTTTCCGCCTTTATTCGCGCCATGCGGGATCCTTTTCCACCGGCCCGAGTCGCCGGAGTTCTGGCGCTGGCCGCAACCCAGCAGTACTTTTTGCTCAGCGAAGTGGCCAACCGAGTGCTGCCGTCTCTGTGTTCTCTCAGCGTCGATCCGGAGAAGACGGTTCGTGATCCGGCGTTTAAAACCATCCGCGGCTTCCTCGGCAAGCTGGAGAAGGTCTCCGAAGATCCCAGTTTGCGAGAGACGATGGGTAAGTCCAATATATCCGATTAATCATTAAAACAATCGTTATTTAAAACAATGAGGCTACTAATTGAGTTCAGGCATAATAAAATCCAGTTTTCCCCGTTAATATTTTTTATATAATTGTAATTAATGTTCGGAGTTAAACATCGAATTAATTGCAGTTCTCGCAAAGTGTAATAACATAAAAAATATAAATAATTTTTTAATTTAATATATGTAAATGGGGTACTAAATGTTGTATTTTTAAATACAGCAAATACAAATATAGCATTTAAAATGGTTCGATTAGCAGTTTAGATGTTCGTAATGGATTCGATTAGGTAAAATACACATTATCAACGGTAAATTGGAAAAACCAAAGTCTCCGGCTTTAATAGTAGATACAAACTTTATATTTAGTGTACTCATTTTTTTATTACATTCTCTTGCAGAGGCGGATGTGCACACGGCTACGCCCTCAATTGGAAATGCGGCGGCCACCTGGGCGGGATGGGCGGTGACGGCCGTTACAGCC